GCCACCAACTTCAATGCCTATATATTTGTGTGCTCAGTTACATTTTGTGTGAATTTATGTGTGAAATTGCAGAGTATGAGTGAAGTGAGAGTGTGTGCGTGAGTAAGTTACTAAGTGAGAAACAGAGAGTGAAAAGAGAGAACAAATTGAGTGTTACATTGCTAAATACAATTAGTTAGTGTTTTTGTTGTGTTCAAAATCTGTAAGTTTATTTCGTCAATAAAATTATTTTGTGTTTAAACTCAACAATAGATGAATGTCCAATATACCCCTAGATCGACTCACGGTAGAGGGGGGTAATGTGAACACTATAACTAGGCTCTACATAATGCAGCATATTGGAATCAGAACATAAACAGATCTCAGCAGAAACTATTAAATCGACCATTTAAATTTTTTATGTCAAGACCTAATGCATGAAAATGAGAAATGTAGAAATCGTAGTTTTGGAGTACCTTTAACTAAAGCTGTTGAGGCTTCACATAAGCAAGGCAATGCAAGTATTAGAAGAAAGATCTCAAATCTTGGAAATATCAATGCTCCATAACTCCATTTTCTCTCGTTCTTCTTTCGGGATTTAAGAATAAAAAGCAATAAAGCATGCAATAATATCAAGCTGCCACCAATTACTGCTAACCAGAACATGCTTCTACTAAAATCCCTCCACCTAGAAGAACAAATCAATAAATTGAGAGAAAAAAATCAGATAAAAGTTGTGGAATATAAATTTTAAAAATGTATTCATTTTCCTGCCATTACTATTCCTTTTGCACAAATTTGTAGTAATGCATATCGAAAAGATTTTAGGCCTGTTTGGTATAACAACTTCTTCTTGCGGAAGAGCTTTCTTAAGAAGTCACATTTGTAGAACTTTCTCTAAAAGTTCTTCTATCTCACAAAGCATTTCAACAAAATTATCTAAACAGACCCAAAAGCAGCTTTTGGCTTTTTGAAAGTCAAGCCAAACGGCCCATATTAACTTTCGAACAAGAGCTTAACTGATGAGTTGAGGCATTATACCTTATTGGCCATATTGAATTCATTTACATCAGATTTTCATTTTTTATTCTTTAAAAGACAGTTTATTTTTTCAGAAACTGCAAGAATCCAGGCTTGGAACTAAGAAGTAAGATGCACATACAAGGTAAATTTCGCGAATACTTACCCATGTGAGTACTGTGGATCCAAAATGTACTCAGCTTCTGGCTTGAAATTTTGGCTCTGCCATGAAGAATAAAATCCCATTCTTTAATATAACTAAGTAGCAGGTTCTAGGATAAGTTTTGATATCTGACCTCAAAATATGTTCTGTATTCCATGGGAGTGAGGGGCAATCCATAAGCTTTTGCATCAGAATCATTTGTGACTTCTGGTTGGACGCCCTCCAAACCTATTGATTTGTGGACTTCAGATCTATATGGACGCATGCTCCAAGGGGAAGTCGATCCCACCATTACTGGCTGGACATTTCCTGTTTCCCAAGGGAGGTTGAAGTAGGGAATACTCCATTGTAAGCCTCTTGCAAGTTCATAATATTCGACTGGTAAGGGTACTGCCAACCATCTAGACAGTGCAAAAATCTGTATGTGGCAAGCAATTCTCTGTGCAAAAGAGAAAACAAAAGGTTCTCAATCAAGAATATGAATTTGATTAATTATGGATATGTTCCTTGTATTATATCGTGCTATGTCTTCTCATTCAGTTGTATGTCATAGAGAAGTAACTACGAAAACTAAAACTTGAACCTTAACAATGCACTACCTCGGACTTTTGAAAAATTTAGGGAGGGAGGAGAGATTACATGCCTCCTAGTTAGAAAAAAGGATTTTTTTTTTTTTTTTATCTGTCTATTTAGCACAGATCAGAAGAATAAAATATAGTATGATAATGGAATTTGCTGCTCCTAAGAGCCTGTTTGGCATGGCTTTTGAAAAGCTTTTAGTTAGAGGAAGCTGGCTCAAGATGACTTCCTCGTGAAGCAAAAGAGCAGAAGCAGAATCTATTACAAACAGGTCTTTCAGTCAGGATGACAGATTTCTCTGATTAAGTAAAAAGTGTTGAAAATGTTGAAAAGAGACGGGAACTTACAAAAAGATTCCTCGTGGGGTCAGATGTCAAAAATGAATTTGGTCTTGAAAATGCTCCAATGGACAGTTGGCTTGCAGTTGAAACTGTTAGAAACCCTGCCACTAAAGATGTCACAGCAAAAGCAGCAGTTGCAATGGACGAAAGAATTGAAGACACAACAGGTACAGAATCTGTAAGATGTTTGTTTAAGAGATTGACGTCAAAATAAGAATAATATTCAGAAGACGAAACTAAAAATCTGAAAAAGACGTATTAATACTTACAGTGTTTCACTTGAAGAGAATTAGATGCTTTGTTTCTATTTCCACAAACATCTGCAGTTATATTTTCAGGCACACTGACTGATACGACTTTATTAACTGGTCGTATATGAACAGCATAGAGCGTTCTACTCATTTGGTCGAAGCTGATGAATTCATAAAGGATATATCAATAAATGCTAAAACGCATATTTTGTTATTGACTTATCCCAAAAAATACAATCCACAAAACTTCTCACCTGAGCAAATATCCTCCGGATATGGATATATGAGAAGAGTTGAATTCAAATACGGGCTTCATGAATTTAATCATTATAGGAATGCTCTTTTCTTTTGTCCGTATATTTGATGTTGTGCTCAACCTGACAGCTGGCCTCTGCGAATCTACAGCCCGATTACAAGAAAACGAAACCACATATTAAAAATTGCAGTGGGCATAGAAAAAATAAAACAGAATTCAGGTTATTCCTTTTTTACTCACTCTGTCAATCAGATTTTGTAAAAATGAATAGATGTTTGTAATTGAATTAATTAGAAATCTGCAATATGATACTTTCCAAATATTTTAACTTCGTTTTCCCTATATCGTTGAATACTGTAGCAATGTGTCATTCTATATTCATCCTGTCTTGTGAGAAAACAATATTTTCGCAATTTCTTTCATGAATTCTGTACATACCGTAGAGGAAAGTGACTGGAAGTACAGGAGAAATGGGGGTCCCCTGTCTGCTTTGTACTAAGTACGAATCCAAACTCACCGTGATAACAGCCATCTCTGGTAAATCTTTGAGCTGCAAGGATTAAATTAATAAATTAGCATTATGTTATGAACTAAGCTCCATAATATAACATTTAGCTACGCCTAATAAATCCGAAAACTGACCTGATAACCAAATCTGCGTTCGCCAAGGCTACTCCCATTAATAGGAATGAGTGAACCTTGATTTGTTCTGATTGAGTTCATAATTTCAGCTGATGAGTTGACTACAGGTTCGGTAAAATACAGGTAGAGCTTTAGATTCTTATTTCTATTAGTTGCCAACACAGTTCTAGTTTGTTTGTCGATTTGAAGCAACCTTTCAGAAACATGAGTCCTTAAATTGGCAAATACACTTCTTCTATCTGAAATTGAACAAATAAAGTCAGTCAGTGTTCAAATATTATACAAGTAATTCGAGGAACCACATTTTTTCTGAATGTTGTTGGAGTTTATATTGATTCTTAATGACCATAACTTATATTGATTCTTAATAACCATAATAGTAAATGGATAGGACTCAAAAGTACAATGGACGAGCTTTCAACTTATTTTTTCATCATATATACTGCCCCTACTACCCTCCACAGCTTTCCAATAAAAGGAGCTAGTAGAATAATGCAGTACGCAAAATACTCACCAAAATGTATGAATAGACTCGAATTATCTGTCCTAGTGAATTTGTTTCCAGCAGAATCTGTACAGAATTTTTTGTCCATTACCAATATCGCACGTCCATACTGGACGTTAGATGATAAACTCACTACAACAGAAAATTCACGGTTTGGCTGGACGACATTGAGGGTATTTGGCACAACTTGACCAGCACCATAAACAAGAAGCTGTAAAGAAGAACAAATTTGTAAATTAGCGATTTTATAATCATCATTTGTCTGAGAAACTTGCCTAGTTTAACTATTCTTATTTTACAACTGAAAAAGCACAGATGTCAAAAAGGGAAATCTATCGAGTTGCAACTTAAGTTTTAGCTGACCACCTACTCACATTGCAGGCATTTACGGAAGAACATGTGAAACCGCCTCCACCAGCACAGGGTTCACTGAACGATATGTTCACAGAAACCCGAGAAGCATTTGTAAATGTTGATTCAGCGTTTAAATATGCTGTAGGGCGAACTGTGTCTGCAAAAACAGGTACAACTGAATTAGGCTATAGCTAAAAATAATTACCAAACATATATTAATTGATTTAAGAACAATGTACAATTGCACTATCTTTTCCAGCTCATAAATCAAAATGCAATATTCTCCCCTATTATAATCTTAATAACAATATCAGTAATAACTATTAAATCATGTAAGAAAATGACAAGAACTGATATATGAATACTGATATAAAACAAAGTTCGTGGACTCGATTTCATAAAATTTTCAAATAATATGAACCAAAACTTGATAGGATTAAGAGGGGTGGCTCGACCAATGGTCCAGTTATAACTAGCGCAGGCAACTCCAGTCGAGCCATTGGCGCACGCCTCAAAGGAATGATACCCGTCCACCAACACAGTGTAAGAAATTTTCCCACCTTCACAAGTTGAAGATACGCTATTATCCAGCTGTTTTGCAGCATGTATGAAAATTAGTCAGCAAAAATATGAAAATGTCAAAATTCAATTAGCTGAAAGCAAAAACAAAATAAGTCCCAGTATTTAATTTATGTAAATCATACAACTTGGCATCTGGGAATAAATTGTAAAACTATAATGATTCATAATTTATTTCTTCATTTTATTCTAATTTATTTCCAAATGTTCTTTTTCTACAAGTGGCTAAGAAATCTAGAAATTCTAGTATAATATATACATACAACAGCCAATTTTATACCATATTTAAGCAAAAAAAAAAAACAATCCACCTAAAATCTTACATTGCCGTCGAATACAAAATTTAAGTGAATACATACAGCTCGTTATAACGCTTAAATTTTTAAACAAAGTGATTAACATAAACATTTATCAGAAAAAAATGTATTTGATGGAGGAGGTTTTGAAGGAACAATTTGAATAAATACACATGATTCTCTCTAATAGCTCGAGCCTTTAGAAGGGATGGTTCAATATTCTCGATCCGTGTTTAGCATGCAACTAAGACTAACCTTGCAATTGGTAGAACAATCAGCACAGATGTCCCCATTTCTACCCACAAACACTTTAAAAGAAAATTCAGCTGAATTTTTATTGGAAAATGCAGGAGGGGTCCTCAATAACTTTATAGCAAGTTCTGAACCATTATCAGATTGCGCCCTCAAACTTGAACCCAGAAAAACCCAACAATGAAGAATCAAGAATATAAAATTCTTCCAGGCCATTTCACCAGAATTGGTAGAAAAAGTATATTACTTCACACCAATCATGTTATTGGCTAAGAAACGGGAAAATTTTGAACTGTATTGTAGGACACTGCACAGCTAGAAATGAACAATGCGCGTGGGTGTGTTTGTATGTGATACAGAGTTAAAGATTAGAAAAAAATAATTGAAGTGATTGGTTTGGTGAAGGTTCTGTGAGGATACGGCATATGAGACTGACAGTGCAACACAGTATAGTGAGTGTGACACAGTCTAGATAAGAGAGAAAAGAGAGTTTTGAAGACACAGACTTTAAAAACGGACGGGGCTTAAGCTCTCAAGGATAATTCTATTTGTACCGCGTTACCGCGTGCTGAAAGTGTTACACCTTTTCACATGTGCACTGGGCTTGTGTGAATGAAAAACTATCAAATATTTGACCCCCACACCCTATTGTTAGTGTAGATAAAAGATTAAGTAAAAAAGAGGATGCACATATAACATTGTCCTTCAAATAAATCGTCTATATTACTTGCCCGTGTTTCCCACTTAAAAATTTGTGCATGATTTATATAGGTGAATGGTGTATTAAAGATAATATTTAAAGAAATGTCGTATTAATGCTAGACTAAAGGTTTGTATTCAAGTATGGCCGTTAAGATTTGGGGTTCCATATTAAAAAATCAACCTTATTAAAAGGAGTAACTTGAGATCTTTATTAATTGGTCTGTGTCAACATCATTTATCGATGTTGGATATATATATCCCTTAACACGCCCCGACAAGATGGTGGCTCATTTGAGCAGACCAATCTTGAAATTCACGTGCTTATTTTAGAGTTTTAACAGGATCGAATCGCTCGTTAGAGTATAATGGGCTCTGATACCATGTTAAGATTTGGGGTTGCATCTTAAAATGTCAACCTTGTTAAGAAGAGTAGCCCAAGATCTTTATTAATTGATTTGTGTCAACATCATTTATCGATGTGGGATATATATCTCTTGACATAGCCGACCCCAAACAAAAAAATTGCGCACGTGTTCTTTGGTAGAGAATAAAATAAAATTCGATATATACTTTTAAGGTGTTAAAGATAATATTTAAATAATATTAATAAGTTAGAGTTAAACAAAAGGTCTGTATTCAAGTATGGTTGACGCTCATTAAAAAATTGTTCACGAGTTCTTTCATAAAAAATGAAATTTGAAGGGTGGGTTAACAACAATATTTAAATAAATCTCTAAGTGCTCAATAGGTTGAGAGAGAGAGATCACTTATGATTCTTGACCATGAATAGGAGAGAGGTTCAGCAAATTGCAGGAAAATGACACATTCAAGAAGACAAAGGACTAGGATAAGGGGACCTTAATTAATTTTACATTTATTCATACATTTTTTTGGTTATGTTAGTATAATATAATGAACAAAATACTAAAACTATTAAGAAATAGATTATTACAAAGTTTGTGGTTATTTATCTTGTCACTTCATCTTAAACTGTTGATCTTGACGTGAAAATGAACCTTTATGAACTTCTAAAATATCCCAGTTGGGAACTGACGACCAATCTTTACATGCATTGTGGATAACAATTATCCTATTACTTACAACTTTCTCTAGAAAAAGGAGAGTGACATTTATTTTTAGTTTCATCTTCAATGCCCAATTTAACTTTTTTTGTCAAAGGCTTAAAGGTTGAATTTTCACAACCCCATGAAGATGAGACTTAAACATTTACTTTTTTGTAATTTATTTGAATCATTTCACATTAAAAATAAATTGTCAAACATGGTGAAATTAATTAATTTTTTTTTTAATATTTTCAACCAATAAGAACAAGGATCAAGTATATTCCAATATAAGTTCACTGCCAGGATATATCATATATTTGCCAAAAAAGATGTACAAATAATGTACACAACAACTCTTGTTAAATGTCTCTTTTCAATTTCAAGACAGGTCTCTGTTAAATTCAGAGGCAGATGCCTTTTGTTTGTTTGTATATAGTACTATAATACCCTGTGTTTTCTTCATCCTATTTTACCTAAAAAAGGACAGTATCACATGCATAGACAGCTTCTTGCAGAGTACAGCCATGGAGATTGGAAATATATATTCAGGTTTTTTCAGAGCGTGAAAATAACTTAAATAACTTAGGGACGGTTCTCTTTGTGTTTCAGTTTTGTGTTTTGAGTTTTGAATTCATTTTGGATTTTGTATTTTGAGTGTTTATTTTGAGATTGTTGAAAATGTGTTCTTTTTGACATTTTGAAAAATTGTTTTGAAAACANAGCCATGGAGATTGGAAATATATATTCAGGTTTTTTCAGAGCGTGAAAATAACTTAAATAACTTAGGGACGGTTCTCTTTGTGTTTCAGTTTTGTGTTTTGAGTTTTGAATTCATTTTGGATTTTGTATTTTGAGTGTTTATTTTGAGATTGTTGAAAATGTGTTCTTTTTGACATTTTGAAAAATTGTTTTGAAAACACCCAAAACGCGTTTTGAAATTTTTGACCTCAAACACCCAAAACGACAAATTGTCGTTTTGTATTTTCTTTGTACATTTTTAACTTATTTTCAAAAACGCGTTTTTGAAAATAGGAAAGAAAACGCGTTTTCACTATTTTGGAAAATCGAAAATAGAAAACGGCTTGAAAATGGTAAAAAGAACAGACCCTTAGTATTTTGTCAATTATTAATTTTTTGTAAATCAGATAGTCGAGAGTAGCGGAATTTCCGCTAGTAAATGGACAATGTGACTCGTCTAAGACAAGATTTTATTATAATGGTCAAGGGAACTGTTGTTCAGCGAAACTCAATTTTAAAAGTTTGTAACCCCGTTGAAGTCTCCGAATAAAGGGAAAAATAGAGCTCTTTATAACTCTCATTTTTAACCGTCACTGCCCATAACTTGATTCGTCCAATTCGAACTTTGAAACTAACAATTCTTTAATCTACATCATATATATTTACACTTCAAAAAAAAAATCAGATTCTCTTTTCCAAACAAGTCCAAACACTGAAAAATGGTGCATGTTTTGTTCTTTTTGAGTCCTTTTCTCTTTTTGTTTTTATGTGGAAAAATCGACACACCATATGGCCAAGGAGATAAAAGGCATGGCTAAAGTGATAATGTATTTGAGGCCAACCAATCTTGAAGGTTTCAATTAACACCACCCCAAATGTCACTATTGGGAGATTAATATTCTAAATACATCTTTTTCAATTTTTTTTGATAACTTTACATCGGTTTGAACGTTAAGTCGAAAAAGATAAATGATTAAGGCCATGTTTGATAGGACAAGTTTTCCATGGAAGATGGAAAACTTTTGCCATTTTCCACTTTTTAGAATGTTTGATAAGAAACATTTTTCAGGTAATTGATTTTCCATATTTTCTTGGTTTGCCACATTTTCTTACTTTTTGTGGTGAATCAATTTCCACCACTTTGGTGGGAATTGGTTTTCTAGGCAGCTCTCTTTTTTTTTTGGACAATGGAAACAAATTATATCCATTTAATGGATAATTTTCATGAAAAATAAAGTCAAACGAACACCAAAAGATCCAAAATTTCAATATTTTTAGATGAAAAATTATATCAATCAAACACAATTAATTGACATTTCTCAGTAAAACCAGATCTAGACAATTCAATTCCATAGAATTCATTTTCTTTTCACCCAAATTCCATTTTTGCAATCAAACGGACTCTAAGAGTCAAATGTTATACCGGCATCGGAGCATTAATATAATTATATACTTACCACGGTACATTACCATATACAAGTTAACTTTTATCTCTATATAAAAGAAAATATCATATCAATAACCAAACATTAAGATCCTATGATAGAAATATTCATAACAATATAGTATGATTAATGTCAAGACTGAATCGGTTAATAACGAAAATATTCACATTTTTTGTTTTAGCATCTCAATCATAAATGATGGAATCATCAAATATTTGACATTTTC